TTGCAGACCACACCAAATACATTCCACTGACACTTGGATGAAGCTCAGAAGACAACACCACTCAATAAAATTGTGCATCTTCTCACGTATTCTGTGCATTGTCCTCGTTAAGAGTTAATAAGCTGAAAAAAAGCTTGGCTCTGTGCTAAAACTCTGTGTGCCTTTCTGCTTCAGGCCCTTCTTCCTGCGGTATTTGGAATTCTCCATTTGTTTACAATGGAAGCGAACACGTATTCTGTTCCATCCAGGCTACTGACCGACCACTTCATTGGGATGTTTCCCAAATACCAGTACTTTTGTCAAGTGCTAATTCTGGATCTCCACAGCCTGAATTTCCTTCCAGATTCAAAGCATAATGCGGTATTTGAGATGGTGCTTGGTTAAGTCACCTTATCCCCACAAATTGCATGATTTGCTCTTCAGCTTCATGTCAATCACATTTTTCTATCACCTACCTCACTTTTTGTATCCTCATCTTAAAAACTCCTTTCCAAGTTTTATTTTAATTTGGATTACAGTAATCGTGTTTTTCTGGTATTTCAGAGTTAGCTTCCTCTGGGTAAAATGAAAAACATTAAACACTGCAAGGGCATCAGAATTTGTGAATGCCAGAAATAAAACTACCTTCTGGCCGTGTTTCTCACTAATATCCACTGCTAACAGATCCAGGGCAATATGATCCTTACTCTTCTATGCTTCTAAGGAACTTCAGCTCTGAGTAAGTTCCTAATTTCATGTTCTTCTAAGTTCTTTAACCTCCATATACTCTTGGAATCATATGGAATTCAGAAATCACCCTAGACCCAAACAGCTTTGAAAACAGATCATTGGAAATCTTGGAGATCAGCTCCACCTATGCTTTCAAAATAGGCTGCAAAACCTATTCTTACTCTTATTTGGAGTCCTTTCTCCAAACTTCCCATCTCTGAAACTCAGATACTTCTAGACATTTCCCAGTACCACTGCTACCTGTACCACCCCAAGCTAGAAATCTGCTAAAAGCAATTCCTTTCCTGTACTCTCCAGCTACAGATAAATTTCAGAGATGTTAGCTAGGTTTGCAAAAAAAACAAACCACAAACAACAAAAAAATGACGCTTATGCATACCACTCTCATTAAAAGTCAACACTACTAGAGAGCTTTTCAAGGCTTAGTCTGAAAAACAAACTTGCTCTTTAGCAAAGCCATCCGTCTGAAATGCTAAGCAGATCAATCTGAAGGGAGTGAACAGAAAGAGCATGAACCTCCAGCTCACGATTACCATATCTGATGACAATTCACTACTTTTACTCCACTTCTGAACACAATTCATAACTGTCAAATCACGTCAGCCCTGACCTGTAGAACTCCACCCAATCTCTCCGAAATATAAGGAGTGAAACGTATATAGGCAACACACATTATAGAACCAAGATGCTCCTTAGTACAATCCAAAAGTGCTGTAGTTTTCAGAGAGAACACTTCTCTCCAACTCTGAAAACTACACCACCAGTCAGTGGATTTCTAGGTGCAATTAAATGTGTTAGAGTTTCACATAACAGAACTAATTAATTGCATCTTCAAAACCTCTATTTCAACAGCAAGATGGAGAAAACTCTCTGAGGAATAGAAACCTGCATTTCACTGACTGCTAGTCAAGGATGTGGACGAGGGGTTAATTGGAAGCGGAGATAATCATTGTATTTCATTCCTCAGCAGGTTGCCACACTTTTGCAGTGACTTACAGGCCACACTGCCAAGCCCTGCTCTCCCAGTTCATTGATTGCAAATGAAAAGGGGTCAGGGAAGGAAGGAAAAATTGTGAGACAATTTAGAAGAATTTTCATAGAATCTCTTGTAGCATTTCTCTTGAATTTCTCTCTTGGGAGTTTCGTGAGTAATGCAAAATTAAAATATCCACAAAGCATTGCTTCAGAACATGGCTATGACTTATTTTTAATTAAGAAGACGAGTAACAATTGCTTTGTATTACAAGCTGTTGGCATAGAGGCAGCAAAGTTGCTTTCTCATTCTCGCTAATGTGCACATTTTCAAGAGACTGAAGAATACAGTTTCACCAGGCTTCCCAAACCTTTTTCTACTGTGTGCTAGCCAAGCTGCAAACAGGTTTTTACTCAACTTAATACGAACACGTCAGCCACTGTAAAGACAGTGCACTAAGAATATTATAAAGTTTTCTACTTAAAGCTCTATTTCCATTTTGCATGTCTTGAAAAGTATGACAAACTTATAGAGCAGCCTTATTGCAAAACTCAAGATATAAGAAATACCCGGGTTGATCTATTAATTTTTACAACTAGATGAAGGAATAATATTTACAAGATCAACAGTTTTATGTTTTCCAAGCTTGGTCCTACAGACTGCACAAAGATGACCAACACCACACCAGAATGTTGATACAATACTCAACATCATCTCACAGGAATGCTCTTTAACCAAATTAATTTAAACTGGTCTAGTTGTGACCCTGTCACATATGCAGAAAGCTGAAAGTCCAAAGCAATCAGAAATGAGGTATTTTCAACATCTTTAAACATGATGTGGGAAAGGGGAAAACAGCAAATTAGTTAGCAAATCCTGCTAGACTGGATAGATTTGAAAATGTGGGGGAAAGGGTTTTGGAAGCTAAAAATACATGTGCAAGAAAGATGAAAAAAGCAACCTTTAGAATACATGCAATCCATCTGGAGAAAAATAATCCAGAACTACAGCAGATGAGAAAGACAGGAGTGCAGTGATGTGCTGCAAGTCTGAAAAGCAAGAGTCGGAAAAATTGTACAAAATCTTCAATGCACCATAACCGCAAAAAAAGAAAAAAAAATCCTACAGTTTTCGACTGCATAAGTAAAGCCCTCTAGTCCAAAAAAAGCAGAAAAATACCCTCTGTGGGCTTCTGGTAAGACTATGCTTATCACATTATGTACATTTAAACATATCCCAGAATGAAGAAGGGGGGGGGGGAAAGAGAAGGTATTTCAGAGAGAATTCAGAAGAGAAAAAAATGAAACCTGGAAGATTGAATTACAAGAAAAGATTAAGGGAATACAAAGCATTACTTCACTAAATTGTGACTAAGAGCAAGGGTACAAGCATTTGAAGAGTATAACACACCACAGGGAAAGAAGATATATTTGAAATGGAGATGAAGAAATATAAATGGAAGATTTAGGCAGGAGCTTACTTATTTAGCTGGCTACAAAAAAAAGTCTCCAAAATGAAGGGCTAGAAGCCATAGCAACTGGAGTTTAGAGCAAACGTAAAGGACGGATGAGAGGAAGAGGCATGATTTTAGCTAATAGGACTTCTGTATCTTAAGTTAAGATATGGAAAAAAAGACTGTGGGAAGGGATACTCACGTATCTGGCAGTAAAAGCTATGTATTTCACTAGGATCTTAAAATAACTGAAAAAGAAACAGTACCAGGGCACACTACACTTTTAAGAGGATCTAACAGGATACTGAATCCATGCAATTAGTGATCTTATCATATCCACACAGCTTTCACCAACTGTACCTGCTAACCAAATTGTGCTTTTTTCATAAATACTTTTTAATTTCTGTCTCTTACCTTAAGAGGCTCGTATCAGAATGGTAGCTCAGAACCAAGGCTGAAAAAGTGCTGACTGGTGCACCAAAGAATATCCTCATCATTGATCTCCCCTTGCCTTATAACATGGAGCAGATGACGATGATAAACAAGAGTTTTATATCAGCTGATAAAGCAGCTCATGTAATGACGCAGCTGAGATGACCTTCTCTGAATCATGAGCAGTCTGGAGAGCAACTACAGAGTCTGAAGGTGAATCAAGCAATTTCTCCCAGAGACAAGTCGCTCCCCAGTGCTGGGCCACTAGACAAATGGCTCACTGCAACCCTTGTACACTGGGAAACCTCTGCCAAAAGTAGTAACAATCAGAGGGGCCTTTTTTTTTTTAAAAAAAAAAAAAAGAAAAAGAAAAAAAGGGAAAAAAGGAAAAGAAAACAAAAGGAAAAAAAGGTGGGAAAAGAGAGAGAGGGAGATCTAGAGGAAAAAAAAAAGCTGCTCATGGAATTAAATACACTCTGATCAAGTTATCCCTCAAAGTGAAAAGGTCTGAATAACTGTTTTTTCATCTCCTGCAACAAGTCACCTGAATACATAGCCTAAAACTTGAATCCAGCCCAAATTTCAGCTTTAGAAATTACCGAGTTCTGTCTCCTCAACTCTCTTTATGCATTATCAACTGGACATGGCTTTTCACATCCTAAACTATCACTGAACAGCTGTTGTGCTCTGCTGACGAACAAAGCAAGACATACATGTTCTCTTAATTTTATTTGCCAGTTTGCAAAAAGATGAAGGTTTTCCCTCAGGTACTAAACGAGTCAGAGTGGGTCATGGTTCAGCTCTCCCACAAAGCAGAAGTACAGAAAGATAACTCCATTGCCAAAATATGTCTACATATACATAGAAAGCTCATGAATAAACAGTCAACAAAAGCCGGTTTGGCAAAAGTATGGTAAGCCTTGCCTTCAGTCTGCAAGTAAAACATGAAGCTTGGCTCCTACCCCTGCTGAAAATGCTGGTGGTTGTTCTTCCCAGAGGTCAGCCACTTTTAGGAATGTTAGAAAATGATCCTGACGCCTCAGCTGAAAAAAACCCTCAGCAAAGCCAACTGTAGTACTACAAGGAAGATGCATATTACCCGAAGAAGTACAAAAGACCTACCAGGTACTCTGAATGATATCTAGAGTTGGGAATGTATTCCACGACATGGAATGTATTTGTTTGTCATCATAGCTGAAATCAGAGTAAAGTTTCACAATTCTGTTATATTTATGTTCTCCTGCCATGTTTGTATGCCTCTGTAATAAACTCCTTCACATGTTTATTATTCAGCGGCCCTGGAGCATGCTACCTCTTTGCTATCATAACCCAGCAACGAACTACTAGGCTGCAGTCAAAGCGACACTAAATCATTGATGAAAACACACAGAAACAGAATACACATACACTCACCCTCATAGAGGTTTCTCCACCGTGGGGCTGTTGCAGTCTGAAGACTTGAGCAACCATGTGTTCTGTGGACGGGTGCAACAGGATACGTCGGGAAGCCAGTCCCACCATTACATATCTGCCCATTGGAGACAGGCTCACAGAAATGGCATTAGGGCCTACGAAGAGAAGAGCAGTTATTTCTCTCACAGGTTAACATCCCTCCCAATGCTTCATCCTCACAGTTTCTTCATTCCCTTCCAGCATTCCCATAAGGTATGGCATACTAAGCTCATTCTTATAGGGGATAGAGAAGAACAAGGAGACCTGCACCAGTACAAATTTTGCAGGGCATTTCCTTGATGCAAGCATCCTCCCACTAAGACAATGAAGTTCTTTCAGAAATAAAAAACTATCCCTTAGCAGCTCCCCTGTACCAGCACCATACATGTCCAGACCATACCACAAGCTTCTCCCCAGCAGTACTATCTTGGAGGTTGGTTGGAAGGACAATAAAATATTTCCTGTTACTACAATCACTGATGTTCAGACTACTGCATTTCTCACTGAAGGTTGAGTTCTGAGGTAACTTCTCGCATCCCCACCTACCCTGACTTCTTGCTGCATGCTTACCAAATCGCTTTGTGTAAAGCATCTCGCCCAAGTTGTGGGGTGCCAGAGAATATACAGCCAGTATTCCTTCATCAGGGAAGCCTCTTTGGCTGCTGGGAATGAAGGCTGCCAGCAGTTGCCCATCGGCAGAGATATCGCAGCTAGCATCATTGTAAATCTTGCAGTTTTGAACAAGTACGTTCACAGAGGCTGCGAAGAAGAAAAAAAGGAACAGTGATTAAAGTACTCAGGTTCAACAGAGAATAAGTGAGATTTAAACCTAATGTTGGAGACTGGACAGTGCATGCAAAAGGCACTTAAGACATTTAGCTTCCTCCAAAAGTTTATGAAATGTTAATACCCCGATTAACGTAAAACTTGCTCAAAACGGAGATAAGACACTGCAATGAGCCCAGGAAATGAAATCTACTCACCTCCTGGAGCCTTCAGCCAAGAAATAGTGGCAATTGCACTTTATCAAACCCCTCCTTTGTTGAGCATAACACCATCCTTTGCAAAGGACAGTACAGTTTAAACAAGTCTCAAATCATGACTCTGACAAACTCCAGCAGCGGTATCATTAGAAACAGTACACCTTAATTCATTTCCCCTTCTCCTGTGGAGCCCCTAGTTCCAGCTCCCCTTATCTCCAATAAACAGGAGATGAGAGAAAAATTCCACCCTGCAGATACAGACTTTCATTTCTGACAGCTGATTTTTACACCAATCTTGGATAAAGCAAGTGAGAAAGGGCAGAGACATCTCCAGCCAGTTCTCCATTTAATTACTCCAGAACGTGAGACACTCATGCAATCAGTGAAGTAACTGTTCAGCAGACAGGGTAGTGACCAGCAATTCCGAAAACATACATTTTACTTTAATCTCTGCTGGCGAGTTGCTGGGTGACCTCGTACAAATCTTTTCCCTTCCGTGCCTTGCATATGCAGACTACAAGCTCTCTGGGTTACTGAATCTTACCATGCACTTGTGCCATTCCTAGTACAATGAGGTTCCAAGGCCTTTTAGCATCGTCATCAGCAACAGTTTAATGGTGGCTTGGTAAAACAAGACTGGAGTTGTTTGCTCCCTCAGCCTAACCTAAATGTGCTCCGTTTTTTCACTGAAACTGCTGCAATTATTCCAGGAGGTTTGGATCTGAAACTGCACACACTATTTTGGGGATGGGAAAATTTCAGATTCTAGTATTTTCAAACTCAAGGGGATAGAAATACCAAAAAAAGAAATAAAGCCCACATTTGCAATATAGAAACTTTGCATGCTATAACACCCCATCTCATGTGCTCGAAGCTATAGCATCATGTGGAGTACTATGTTAACTTCTATAGTCCAGAAATTCTCTTCTAAACCATCAGATCATGCCCAGCCTAGAAGTGGCTTTGATTTGTTCAGCTAAAGTCGCATAAAATGAGTTTACGAAGGCACTTCTTGGGCTAGATTTCTTATTAGCTAACAAAACAACAGTGCTAAGAATGCTTTGCGCACACTTCTGAAAGCCTGAACTTCCAAATCAAATTAAGGCTGTAACTCAACGCGTTAACAAACTGCTGCCAGAAAAAACAATGCCTGCCCTTTGTTTCCAACACTTCTGTGGAAAGCAAGCTACATCAGGGAACTGATACAGCTGAGAAATTACTGACTGCTGTCTAGGTCACTTTTTAGCCAGAACAGTTTCCCAACCTGGTACACCACAGGGCCACACAGACACCTCCAGCAGCAGAAGTCATGACAGGGAAGCAGACAGGACTGCTCCTTCTTCCAGCCCTGCTGATTTAAAGCGCTCACTGAACCTCATCTTTAGCTCTTCCAGTCTCAAAGACATTTTTCCTGGGAACTGCTTTCCTACACGGTTGGGTATCAACTTCTGCTATTCCATTTAAGAAACTCCAATGAAAAAGAAGACAAGGATAAAAAGTGGACTATGTAATTACATTCTGTACCAAACCACCTACACCTGTACTCTAAATTTACTCAACCATTTTTTTTTTTTCAGTCTGGAAGCTGCTAAAAACAGTAATTTTCAGCCTAGTATAAACAGAAAGGTACTGAACAGAAAAAGGTAAATAATGGTAGTCACTGTCAGTGCTGTGTTAACAGAATCTAAAATACACATGGCCCTTCAAAAAACAGACAGTCCAAAAGATGACAAAACTCCCAAGCGCTTAAGTCTGAAGCCAGTTGAACAGAGACAACAGAATTAAGATTAAAGACTATACTACCTAGTTTTTAAAAAGGCAGAATTAAAATTTGGCCTTTTTGTTAAAAAAGCAAGGCTTCACTCAAGTACTCATTGTCATCACAAGAGAAGATGGGCATCAACACAAGAACTGCAGTATATGCTGGGAACTAGCTAAAGGATACATGACAACAGGTTGCACTACTGTAATCCCTGTCAAATTGAGAGGATTCATTTCAAAACCAGTCCTATTTATTGGCTTTATCAATGGGCCAGGGACAGAGTGGAGCTGGTTAATGAATTCTGTTGATAAAGTTGGGTAATTTCATTAACAGAGCATGATCAGACCACACAGTGAACTGAAGTACACAGAGACATAAGAGCAGTGCAATGAAAGAATTCTAGAGTGTGTTAACATTTATTAATTTCTGCTTCACCTAGGAGCTGCTCAGTTGCAAACAAGAAAGAATCAACTTTGGTGATCATGGCAAAGACTGAGCCATCCACCCGGCATAACAGTGAAAGAGATGGCAATCCTAAACCGCGCTAGGAAGCACACTTACAACAGAAATATCAGTGCTAATAAACAACCTTGTGCTGAGACCACTTGCAGGATACTGGCCACAGTTTTGGTCAGCCATGTTCAAGATTAAACTCTAAATGGTAACAAGTCCAGCAAAGAGCTAGGAAGATGACTGGGGAAAATGAAAAATGTATTTTATGTTTTAAACAAACAAAAATTGCAAGGAAATGGGATTGTATTTACAAACAATACCAGAAAGTAAGTGCCAGAAAAACATCAGTTCTCTTCACAAATAATGTTGACACACGAGTAAGTGGATAAAAGCAGCCATTAAGTTTGGAAATTAGAATTCTACTAGAATAACAGGATTCTAGAATAGTCTTTCAACAGAAGTGAAAGGGGCAAATAATTTAACCGATTTTAAGACAGAGTAAGAGGAACTATAGGATGTGCTTGCCTAAGACAGCAGGGAGCTAGGCTCAGTAGCTAAGGGGGTCCTTTCTCATCAGTTCCTTTGTAGTTGCACTCTAATCAGCAGTGCTGTAAAAAATAAAAATAAAAAAAAAAGGGGGGGGTGGGAATGGGAACTTATTGGATGGGTGAATATTGGGACTTTCCCAGCCAAACCAGAGTTAACTACTTAAGAGAGCCAATCAAGAAGGCAAGCAACAGATCAAAACTACACATTACAGAGGGAGAGTCTCTCTGGCAAATGCAACTATGAAACACGCCCCCTCCACCACCTCTGCAAAAAACTTTATCATTAGAAGATAAAAGAGAGTTCAGTCCCTTTCTTTGGGGTCTAAGAACTGTTCTCGCTGATTCCTATTCTGCTAAATAGATATCTAAGTTTTTGTACTGCATCTCTGGGTTCAGGATGTAGTTGCCATGAGGTACGCACGGTTTCTCTACAACGTTAACTACTGTCATTTGGTGCTCCATATGGGAAGTAGTGAGACTGTACACTTGCTAACTCAGTCCAAAGGTACGCGTGTCATTTAGCCCAGGGACCCTTCTGTATTGATGAACTCCTGGTGCTTTTCAAAGAGGTGCAAGAAGTTTTAGAGGGGACAGATACTGATTTCTCTGGACACAGGTGATGTTTATTCCTTCTTCCTGTAACTATTGGGGGGGGGGGGGGGGGCTCAGTGGGAGCGGGGGGGGGGGGGGGTGCAGAAATAAAAGAAAACAAAAAAAAAAATCACAGCGTATAGAATCCAAGTATCTCCTCAGCTTTTAAAGTTTGGGGTTTTTTTTAATCTAATGCCACCTTGGACACTTATAAGAAAAGAATCCCACTTGTTTATTTCTGTAAGGTAAGAAATGCTCGTATTTATTCTGTACCATTTACAGAGCCAGGGACGCTGCCATGTCCTGTACATATCCTCGCAGTTCCACTGCTGCTGTTCTCCTTTTCAGGTCTCTAATCCTCTTCCACATCTAGCATTTACTATACATCTTTTTAAAACAATGCCGGGTTTGGATTACCAGTCACCAAGAGTCTAGTTATCATACAGCACATGTTGACTCATTTTCTATCTACACGGTTTTTCCTTTTTTTTTTTCCCCACCCGCCCCTCCTTCAGCATAGCACAGAGGGTTTTGGTGAGCAGTCCACAATGATGGCCAACATAACTGTGCGTCTTGTTCTTTTTAAAGTTTGTTGCATACAGTGAATGCCTCTTGGCAAAACAGATTGTGAGCAAGCTCCCCTGCCACAAGTGAACTATCTTTCCCCCTTGATGTATGCCTGGAACATAAAACATCACAGATGCAAGTTGTGCTGAACAAGAAGGAGCGCCCTTTATTTCAGTCTTTCAAAAATCTGATTCACGCTGGCATTTGCTCTTCCCTCATTTACAAAGGATGAGGGACTCAGGTAGCATTTACACCTAGAACCAAGGGAGTCTACTGTGCCAGCAGAAAAAGTCTAAATGTGAGAGGCAGAGATCTCAGCAAGGTTTCATTCTAAGAGATTCCCATGAGATGGGGAAGATGAAGATAGCTCATGCATTTGACAAAGCCACACGCTATTTGATTTCTTTGAGCCTGAGGCCTGATCCATGAAAATGAAGCCAATACAGAAGATTTTGGGGAAAAAAATTGCTATTTTTGGAAAACCATTTACAACAAGGCTGCCCTTTCATCTCTTGTTTTCTTTTGTTGTTAATGCAGCCACCGAGCTGACAGAACAGATCAAAAGAAACATCAGAGAACAAATTAATCAAGCTGTTGTGCCAACCTAGAGCGCTTACACCTACCACATAATTACGCTTGAAGCTGGGGAAGGCCTGGAACGTCGGCAGCAACAGGACTGTTTGCTAAAGGAAAATAGTGCTGGGCGCACCATCCGCTCCTAGCCACCCTTAAGGATGAGACTTTCTTAACAGCTGCTCCTATTTATACGTTGTTTAGCATGCCTTTTTTTTTTTCTTTTTCTTCTTTTAAGTTCTTTTGCATCCCACTGTGGATCCCTAAGTATTGATCAAATCACCTTCTTCAAGCCCCAGCCACTGTTAGAACAGGACAAATTCCTGATGCATGACTAAATGTGGAAGAACTAGACCAGTTCAGTCACAATGGCTAGAAAATGAAATAATGGGCAGTAAGTAGCATGAGAGAAACTATATTCAAAAGATATAAACAAGAGCTAAAACCTTCAAATATTTTACCTGTGGAAAGGCCATACTCTACATCATTCATCAATTCAACACTTACCTGTTAGCTGTAGGAAATTTTAAGGATATGCAACACTAACTAGAAGAACATTAAATAAATGCTAGAGATAGCATTGTGTCTGCTGCCAAATAAATTCCCCACCCCAATGTTGATATGACTGAGAATTACAGTTTAAGACTGGGTCATGTTTATTTCAGAGTTACTAAAAGCAAAACTGGCAAAAGGAGAGAAGAAATCCGAAGCCATCTTTTTCCATTTTGCAATTAATAGAGAAAGACAGGGCAGAGACTGAAATCCCACAAGTCTCTGCAAAGCCATTTCCCCAAGACTGCCGGAGTCCTCTTCATGTGCTTGTTGGATTGAGCGTTAGCAAGGTCACTGCCGTGGAGCCGAGTCCTGAGCCCAGGGCTCCGAAGAAGGGTGCTGGGGCCCAGCCGTTGAGATCCCAGGACTGTGCTAACCATCCTGCTGTCACTTGCTTAGATGTGTTCACTTCAGTGAAAAACATCCTACTTCCAAAATATCCTTTCTTTGTTTAATTGTAACAGGAAGAAGAGCTGCTGGGAGATGGAGGCTGGCCACAGAGTCATTTCTTTGATGGACAGTGAAGCTGGCAGGCAGTCCCAAACTTCAGCTGCATCATTTCATCTGTCTGAACTCCCAAATCACTTGTGGCTCAAGTCAGGCCCAGGAAGTGCAATAGCCCTCTCTGTGTAAGCAGACCCTCACGTGATCACCTCTGATTTATAGGAAATGATAGGGAAAAAAAAAAAGAGCTATTGAGGTCATATGCTATGCTGGGAAAAGAGTTTATTTGCAAGATCATGAAGGGTCAGAAAAAACTCCTCCAATCCATCACTCCACTGTTACACATTTAGCTTCACAATATCTCTACAAATCTGTGCACCTTGGCAAACTTGCAGTTTGCCTTTGTTCTGTGCCTAGGCAAGCTTGGCAAATACTTGTTTTAGGACGAGCACAGCTGCTACATCTTCATACATCCCTACTAGACCTTGGCAGACGGAGATACGGCTAACAATCTAGAAATGCCAGAGTTGGGCTCAGCATGTAAAAAGGAAGAAGTAATGTAAAACTGAACATTCCCAAATGGTAACAAATCAAGATGGACAAGCCAAGTACTACGAAGCACAAGGTGAGGAGTCAGAAGGGCTGGAGATGGGCTTATAGCAGGAACGCTGCCTGTAAGAAGGGCACGACAACATCAGAAACCGTAGCCCAATTTCCAGCTAATTGGAAGCTGTTTCAGAATGGAAGTGTCTTGACCGAGGAGAGGGAGAAGACTGAAATATTGATGGTTTGAGGAGCAGATGGTTCTTATTTTCTATGGGATTCCATAAATTATAAACAAACATCTTCTGCTTTTTTTTTAAAAAAGGCTACAGTCTTCCCCTCAGTAGCCAGATGAGACCCAAAAAAAAAAGACAAAAAAAAGCTATTAACAGCTGTAGCACTCTTCAAATACTTTACAAGCTTGCAGAGGAGTCCCAATGAATTTAAGTCAGCGGCAAGATGCTTCCCCCTTCAGCATAAGACTTCATCTTTATTCTGTTCCAGAGTCTGGCTGGACCACAGGAAGTATTGCCACCGCGTGGCAAAGCTTTGCCTTGAGCATTGATCCTCAGCCTACAACTTCACACTAGTACTACAAAGTTTGGCACTTAACAAGACACATCAAAGCACTGGCACACGAGTTCAATGCAGTATTCGACCTTCAAGATGACACTGCATGCTCCTTCCCAAGAGACAGAGTCATTCTCAAGGACAAAATATAAAGCATCTCCTCTCTTTACAATGTTGAGGGCTACTGTCTAGAAGCAGGGCTTTTATTTCCCATCAGGCTATACACAACACATCACAACATTCTATAAAATGTGAAGGAAGGAGATGAGACAGAAACACCAGATACTTTACCTGTAGGAACAACACAGTAAGAAGGTTTTTTGTAATGGAATGGGCTACTGGTGGCTTTCCCCTAGCTCCCCCAATTTCCCAGGGACGGGGAGGTAAATGGCCCCATATAGGTTGCCCAGAGAAGCTGTCAATGCCCCATCACTGGAAGCATTCCAGGTCAGATTGGACAGAGCTTTAAGCAACCTATGCCCACGGTGCGGGGGAGGGACTAAATGATCTTTAAAGCTCCCTTCCAACCCAAACCATTCTGTGAGTCTACAATTTCAGTTTCCCATATCTCTGCTGCTATGGTGTCACTACATGTGCTCCTTTTGTGGGTTCTCTAAGCAACACGACAGTACCCCACCAAGACCTGTATTGTCAGGTATATAAGTTTCTAGAATTGCAGAACAGACAGGGCTGGAACTGGGAGAAACTTTTTCTTAATTCATTTCAATGGCTACCTGTGAAAGGGAACTCCTGTTCTCCCTAAAAAAGTCAGTCCGATAAAGCAGAATTCAATCTGGTTTTGCTGAGAAGTCAAGCAATGAATTTCACATATGCACAGAGATGGCCTAAGCTAAAAATCACTGCACAAAGAAACATTCGTGAATATCTACCTCCTATCTTCATCCCAGGCTGCCGCAAACATTGCTGCAGCTGTGCAGTAAGCTATATCAGGATACCATTTGGGGTTAAAATTAGCCTTTCTAGTCAAGTTAGTTTTAGCTCCGAAAAAGTCATTCCTTGATCAGCTGACCACAAGCATCACACATGCTTGTGTCTGCATAAGGAGGTCTCTTCCAGGAAGAGAGCTAGCTTATGCCATAGAACACAGGTAAAACTATGGTCTAATTTTCACAAAGAGGAGGAGATAATAAATCAATCAATCAATCAATAAAAATCAGCAATATTGCTCATATTCTTGACCCAGAAGCAGTTTTCACCTGAGATATGGGGTGAATCACTGCTTTTGCAAATGGCTAACATGTACTTCCTCTGGCTTGCAACACCATGGTAAGCAACCTACCGGGGCACCCGATTCCCAGAATGTATTGCAGCACTTTAACCCACACTAATGTCAATAACTTGGAAAATTCAGGCCCAGTTCATTAGCAGGTTCTAATGTAAAGGTATAAAGACAATATCCCTCTAGAAACTTGTTGGTAAAAAAATGAGGAGATTGGATAGAGAACTCTGAGGATTGTATATTCCCACAAGAATGCTCGTAAAAAAGCCCCATGGATGCATGGATTTGCTGATAGCAAGAATACACAAGCTAGACAGAGCAGGAACAGTTCTGCATGCTTTTGGTCAACTTTCTCAAAAGGTTAAGCATTTTACAGTTCCCAATCCAACAAGAGAATCAAGTAATCCAAGACCTGCAACATACAGTTACCTTTGGAAGATCCTAGAGCTTATGGTAGCTCTAGTCGGTATAGACTTAAAAGAAAGTACTGGTGTCCTTCCCAGCTTACCATTGCTGATTTCAGGCAGATCAAATTTAGTGAAGTCCCACCACTGGAGCCGGTAAGTGGTGTTGGCAATGTTGCTGGCCACAGCTGACTGGCCATCCCCAATCACAGCACCTAGGGAAAAGGGGGAAAAATTAGCAATTTAACCTCCATAAGGTTATCCAGAAAAGAGCTGGGGAGACAAAACCATTGAAAACCTTTCAAAATCCAATACACAAAACTCTAGATTCTTTAAGAAACCTTATTTACAGAAATGGCAACACCTCCTAAATGAGCCACAGAGCACAGGAAATTAACAGGAAGGCACCTCCCTGCAACACATTTCTGAAAGAAAAACAAAGTTGATGAGAGATAAGACTTGCCCAGGCTCACAAGGCAGAAATCCTAATCAATTCATTTGGTGCAAATGCATTCTACTTATTGCTACTAGTGAAGCTGTATTTTCACAGACCCAAATTTTTCTAGTACAGCTATGAAGCCAGACCAGGACACATACTAAGGAAAAGTGTTGTCCTGGCAAATCACACACATTTGTGGACATAATCGCTGTTTCTACTGTAAACTCCACTCAGAAGATACAAGTTGCCTACAATATTCGCTACACAGTTAGGATTGTAATAAAATATTAGCAAGGAAGACCCATGAGATGGCCCTTTGCCGCTCTGGGTGGCCCAACCTAGAGCAGGGAGGGCCTGCCCTGACTCCAGGCAAACGACATGACCCTTGCTAACCACCCAAGGATTTGGGAAACAGCCCAAAGTAGAAAGCTAAGCAGAATACTTCAGAAACTAGCACAAAGAACATCATTTTCCAGGCAGAATGGAACAGCCACTGGTAACTCAAGTCAGCACACATTTGAGAAAGCTCAGAGGTATTAAACGCAATCCCTAGGGAGACAAGTGGAGAGAAGAAACAATTCTCCCATAATAGTACTAGAGTGAAAAATCTCATGCTATTTGCAGTCTCTAAGGCCTTCATATACACGCAGCTTTTGCACTACACACACATGCTGGCACCCAGAGAAACTCAAGATAATAGAATTTGATAAGGGAGAGCAAAACAAGATCATCCCCAAGCACAAATGAGGAAAAGCACAGCCTCCAGAGCCTACGCAGTCTGGATTTCAGCATCTCCACACTGTCTCGGGTGGGAAGCACACAGAAAAGTCGTTGGTTTCACTCTCCCAGAAGGGCTGGCTCAGGACTCAGCTGCCACAGCAGCAATAGTGCAAGGGACATCACTTTGACAACTCCCTATCCAGTACAGGGCAGGCCAGCTGCCTGTGCGGAGAGCTAAAAGTCTGCTAACTGCTACTAAATGAAAGCGGTGTGGAGGAAGATGAGGAGACCAGGGTGGCTGGATTTTTACATGTCTCATCAAATCCTAGCAGAACACTTAGGCTTGTTAAAAACAAACAAACAAAACACACACACACAAAACCAGGGTTTATGTTTCCTCTGCAAAGTAAAGAACAAGGCGGGCAGGGCAAAGTAAGGAAGTAAATTCTAGATCAGTGCTGATGAATACAGAGAAAGACACCAAGAAGGCTGCTGCTAGTCCTCTTTTCATCAATCAGCTGTCTTGAGTCCTGATTTTTGGTTCTGGAGAAAGCTCAGAAATACACCAAGAGCAAGGCTTCCGAGCAGACAGCTTTACACTGTGTACTCAGCTGTGCCAGGCCTCCAGCAATCGACAACCCTCCACCGAGTGTCTGCTCAGTCTCCATATCTGCCTCTGTCAGACACGCACATATCACTTGGACAGCAGAATTAAGAACATTTCTATTGCTCTTACAGATGCCCAAGGCCTTGTTCTCCATATCCCGCAAAACAAAGCGCTCCTCTGAACAAAAGACATGCACTTGAGAGAGCAGATTCAATGCATTAATGAAATTACATTTTGCAACCAGAAGTGGAAGAAGGACAATTAAATTTTATATTGCTTCATCTTTAAAAGTCGCCTCGTTGCAAGCTCTTCTGCTCTCTTGCCTCCAGCCACCAGGTGGAGAACAGAAAACCAGTTTCTGTACAGATTTCAAGCAGTGGCACTTGCTGCAGGGAAACAGTAACTAACACCATCAACTAGGTAGCAACTGCCTTATAGGACTGATTCCGACAAGGAAAACACTCTGCAAAGACAGGCAACACAAGTACTACTCAGGGCACATAATTCCAGAATATGGATCTTATTACATATGAATATTACAAAGCCATCACCTGTTCTGCAATGAGAACAACCTTTGTAGGCATAGCAAATGATATATAAACTGGAGAATAACATACCCTAGGAGAGCAATCATGTGCTCCCTCCGCATCGCAGAAGCCTAGCAACATCACTAACTGCTCCACAAGTAGCAAGTTCATCTGGCTCATACAACCGTTGCACCTACTGCTACAAGTACCATAAAAACGCTGTTGGCAAATGGTTTTGAATTTTTTTCTGTAAAGATTCCTATAAAGATTTTTCTCATCCTTTTTGCCGGAACCTTCAGGTTAGTTATGGTGTCCATTTAAACCTCACAACCCCTTCACCTCCAAAAGCAGTCACATCCTCCATGGAAAAGCTAACAAAGGAAAAAAGCAGTACCTCCCCATTTACAGGACAGCCTTGCACAAATTTCAGAGCCAGCAAAAGCTATCGACTAATGCTAGTGCTTCAGGTAACAGATATATTTCGCAAAAAGGTTAGGACACGGGGAACAAGGTTCGTAGAGTGAAAGGTGCATGTTCAGAAGGATTTGGTCCATTTCGCAAAGGCTCCAAACCACTGTGCCCAACATTAATGGCAAATCCATGATCTACGTGTTTTTACTAAGTAATTACCTCTACTTACACTAATTATGTAATTGAGAAGTGTAATTATTAAATTATATCTAGCTACGTATAACAAAGTGGAATAACATTTGTATCACAAGTCCTGCCAGAAGCCTCCCACAGGCACGCATGCACTGTCCTACAGTAAAGACGACTAAAAGCACGCAAACATTTCAGGCATTCAATTTAGGGAAGAAGATACGCCCCAGTACGCAACTATGCTATCGTAATCTTTGCTGTTCACTTTCTGCATTGGTTGATTGGGAAGATTTGAGACCATGGGTGGAAAATTTAAGTAAGTTAAAATCCTCGCTACAGAGCTTTCGTTCATCATGCAGCGTAAGAACTCTTTCTCAGCTGGCTTTGCCCAGTCAGGGTTTCAGACTGGGCGAGAGCAGAAGAAGGTGCTGCTGCCTCCTAGGTTCTAGTGTATCCTGGAGGTAAACAACACACTTCAGCTTCTTAAATGTATGAGACCATGGGTGGAAAATTTAAGTAAGTTAAAATCCTCGCTACAGAGCTTTCGTTCATCATGCAGCGTAAGAACTCTTTCTCAGCTGGCTTTGCCCAGTCAGGGTTTCAGACTGGGCGAGAGCAGAAGAAGGCGCTGCTGCCTCCTAGGTTCTAGTGTATCCTGGAGGTAAACAACACACTTCAGCTTCTTAAATGTAGGCACATCAGCTCTTACAAGCAGCAGTTCTCACCAAGCACTTGACAGTGTGTCCTGATTCAGGGCTCTTCCTCTGTTTGACGGGATCACAAGTGACTGCAGTGGGTACCTGAGGGTCTCGGGCTTGTCATCCCCACAAACGGAACGATCTTTTACTGCAGAGATGATGTAGATTTCAAAATGCTGAAATCCAAAGTGAAGGCCAATTGAAATGCAGTGAACGTAGGTTTGATTGGCAGCTTTCCTGCGTCTGTCTATCACTGCGTAATAAACACTGGGTGATGGCAGAAATGGAGATAAATGCTTTCAGCAGCCCCCCCTTCTCCCCC